ACCACACATCTCACCAGGGTTACAGATCTTGGCCCCCGTGTGTGTGTGTGTGTGTGTGTGTGTGTGTGTGTACCACACATCTCACCAGGGTTACAGATCTTGGCCCCCGTGTTCCCGTCACAGTAGTAGTGGCCGTGTATGTTGCTGTTTTGAGCCTTGCAGTGCACGCTACAGTTGCCCCCGTAGTGGTCACGTGAGCAGAACACGCGCAGCTCGAGGGTCAGGCTGAAAGAGACGTAAAACTGTGGAGTTGTCGTGACCTTAGAATTACAACGCTCTATCTGACAACCCTTCTATATGGCTGTGAATGCTGGACAATCACTAAAGACAGTGAAAATAGAATAGAAGCAACAGAAATGTGGTTTCGTAGGAGACTGCTGAGAATATCGTTGAAGGAAAAGAAATCAAATGAAGTAGTGCTTGATGTTAACAACAATCAGTAGACGACAAATGCCGTTTTTGGGACAAATGAATAGACATAAAGGTCTTGAACATCTAGCTCTCACTGGCAACATTGAAGGCAAGCGAGGCAGGGGTAGGCCCAGAGCAACATACTTAGGGAACCTAAACAAATGGGTAACGGGGAAAGATCAGGGAAACGTAGTAGCTTTTTTGAGAGCATCCTAGCAAAGGAATGAATGGAGAACCATGATCGCCGATGTCTGCCGCAGATCTGGCACTGGATGAATGAAAACCACGAGGTAGGACAACCACATTAATGTTGTATCTGATCGGTCAAACATTGTAATATTATTATTCGGAGTCTTTATCACGATATTCCAAGAATTGCATTTTAAAAAGCTTGAGGTGATTGTATTAGGAGACTCAACATTTGTAATGTCCAATTTGACATGATTGTATTAGGAGACTCAACATTTGTAATGTCCAATTTCTCAAAACTAGGCACTGAGCAGACAAGTCGTTGTGATCCGATGGTAGCCTTGGCAACATTGTGCTTGAGAAAAACATTGTACACCTGCGAGATGAAATGTCCAACGAGAGGAAGGTTGGTGGTAAAAAGATATTGAAGTGATTTTGTTAACTTGTAAGTGTTTATACGCCCTATTCGACATAGTTTAGAAAATATAGGAGGCGGGCTCGCGACCACGCCTTTCAGGTCCCCCCCCCCTCCCGTGTGTCGACTCACGTGACCCTCTATCGTAGCTCTATGATGGTCCCCCCCTCCCAAATCCCAGGCACAGAACCACAA